TCGCATTCTTCGGTGAAAGGTTATCCAATCCGGTCAGTCTCGCCCGGTGGATGTCGTAACGCCATATGATCGGCCGACAGGTTCTTCAGGGACAGCTGCGAGAGCTCTTTCGCCCAATGACTAATCACGTTGTCACGCAAAGAGGAAGCATCGCCATTTAGGGAGAGCAGACCCGTTAAATTCATCATTTGTTCAATTAATCTTTTCGATTCAAACGAACAACATTGACTGTATTGTATTTTCCTAAGACACGCGTCGCAATGTATTTAAAAATATTGTCCACAAAAATCAAAGGAATTTTTCTTAATGAAAAAAAAAATGTTTTAATCAGTCGCGTTCAATTCGCATACAACACTCTTTCCTACGTCGCTAAGCTGAAAATCATTTCACATAATTTTTAATTTAAAGTCAATATTTCAATTGCACGATCATTCATCTTGCATGATTATCAACGAGTTGATGGCACGGTCAAGGACTCCGATGAGATTGGCATTTCCGTATTGTCACAGTCTGATAATTTCCTTGCCGATACGCACGCATACGTGATGCATCGATCGCGATCATCCGGACACCGCTCGATTTTGTAAAGATGTGACAATTTCGACGTGTACTTTTGTAACGTTTTTTTTTACGTTTCCGATTGAGCACTCTGATCGCGCGGTTTCCGTTAATCAAACAATTCAGCGTTTTCATTATCATTTCATGATCATCGCTAACATCATACACAAGGTCACTAGCACCAGGAAGTAAAAGATGATCATTCGGTCATACCCTGATAACGCTCCGCCGAACTTCAATCGCCGATGTAGTGGAAGCACTAATTGCGCTCATTACACGTTAACTAATTCAGTAGCTTAATCGCGTAATTAAGCGATGCCTCCGAGATTATCTCTTGAATATTAAAGATAACTATACTGTATACGTGCGCCGTGTACCTCATTAAAACACACCGAATTAAAACTTCAAAATTTAGCTATTAAAATGGAATTTTTGTAAAAATGGAATTCCCCAACATTAATATAACGCTTCAAATTTACTGCAAGAGTATCTTCGATCAATCAATCATTCTTCCTTTCCGAATTACAGTTAATCTCGGAATTAAATTTTAATTTGACCGGAGGCTTGAAAACACTTGAACATGATCTTTTCATACGGTTTTTTTTTTTTGTGAATCGTTCACGATAGCGAATAACGATCGGCAGCGAATCCCGCGCGCCGCAGTTAACGATAACAAGACGCGCTACGCTAAGCGGCAGCGTGCTCTCATTAACAAGTATTTCGAGATCCGGCGCCGTAACGATGGCAAGTTTAATTAATTCGTTACTCCTCGCGTTCTTCTTCTTTTTTTTTTCTTGTCACTGCCCAAATCGCCCACTGCGCTCTGAAAATTCCCTACACGCGCGAAGATCGTATCCGAGCTATTGAACGTCGTAACATCTCTTCGCGAGCCGCACGCAATCGAAAATCTCTCCGCGCCGGAATGCCGAGAGAAGCTTGAATGACTCTCGCGCGTACAACAAACATAACGGCAGTGTCTCGATTTTTACCGAGCCGCCGATTTTCATTCCAGATAGTGATCATGCGGAATTTATGATTCCACAATTATTCAAACTCTCAGACTGTTGCGCAACGTATCCTGCAAGTAATGGCGAATACAATGAAATGAATTAATGAAATGCATTAATTCGCACTGACATCCTGCGTTTTGGCACACAATAGTCCGCCTTCGTTGCTCCCTACTTTTGCATCAATCGCATCCCCTCAGACTCTGTTTCGTACAGACGTGTAATAGCGCGTATTTTTCGCCGCCCGTCGCTATCTTTGTTGCCGAGCCGTTTTCTCAGGACTCGCGCGCGGTTTTTCGCGCAGGAAGGAAAGGTGCGATATCCGTGTTTATCGAAAAAAAAACGCGTTTACATATTTACGCGGGAACAATCAGATCGTGAGTGAAAGGTCCGCAATGTTCCTTTCATCGACCCCGGGAATGCGCATTTGCAGCCGCGTATCCGCGATGTGTACGACTTCTCTCTGTCGTGAACCCTTTTTTTTTCATCCGGAAGTCGATTATCGCCGAGATATCGCCGCGGCGACCGGAAAATATGTGAAAGGTGAGCCGTGTTTTTCCCAGATTTTACGCCCGACCCACAATGGCCTGCCCGTGTTTGCACAGACGCAAGTCGGAAGTCGATCCCGCGATACAGCGAAGAAACGTATTCCGCTAATTACACGCACGAGCACCTAAGCGAGTATCGCGTGTAATTAAAACTGGGCTAAATAGTTTCGCGAACCTAACAATAAGTGAATGTTCCTGACGTGTGACGTAAGCAAAAAAAAGCAACGACTGCAAGTGACGACAATTAAAGCGTCTCTCGGGGAATGATGCTTCCGCGCGCACTTTATTCACGTGGGAATATTACAAAATGAATATTATTTTAGCTCGCTTCGTCCTTCGTAAATATTCTTGCGAACGACACCCGTGCCCGCCTCTCGTAATGTTATCGGCCTTGACACGCCGGTACTTTCTCGTCGCAAAAATATTTAGTGGAAATCAGCCGTGCGCGCCATCCTGCTTTGCTCTTTTCAATCGAATTGCTTTGTCGAGTGTGAACGAATTTCCCAATTTCCTCCGATCGCTGCAGCGATTGATATTGCACGCAACATTTCCTCCGCTCGGGAAATGAAATAATATGCCTTCGAGACTCAACCTACTTTTGCTCCTACCTGTCTCGCGAGCGGATTGCGGCGATTGCCGATGCACCGCCGCAATCGCGTCGCGCATGGCGCACGATACGCGCTCGCGGGAATTCATGCGAGATACACGGGCGTGTTAACACGGCGCAACGTGAGACCGGGAAAAACTCGAAAGTCCGACCGCGATGTTCCGAGGTGTTGAAATGGAAATGCGTGGCGCGATGTATAATAATCCAGCAATCATTACCGCTGCGCGCAGCATAATGCGTGCGCGGTGCATCGACCTGCCGAGAACAGCGTGAGGGAAAAAATCCATTTTTAACCGACGGAAAAATCGATGACCCTCGCATATTGAAAAATTCCGTTATTACAATTATCCCTAATTATGCAAAGAAATACAATATTTTTTATATTTTTTTCCCCCCCAAATTATTCGAGATGGAAGGATTCTCGTTTTGTGCTAAAATTAAAAATAAAATAAGTTACAACACAGTTGAAATAAGTTGCGCTACCGGCAGATTATTGAGCTAGTTGGCGATAACATAGCCGAGACACGATAGCCGTGGAAAATCGTGGTGGCGTGCAAGAAAAGTCGGCGTGACCAGCGCTCGAGAACGCCTCGTTGAACGAACCCGAGCCCATAGAACCGAACCCGTTACGAGTCAACGGCCGGAGTGTTACGCGCGATATACGTGTCCTCAGTCCGATCTCGCTATCGATAGCCACGCACCTTACGGTTTACGAATTCCTGCGGGCTCATAATGACTACAAACGACTGGCGTCATTGTCTTGATTAAAATTAACCGTACATCCGGTCGAGAATTCCCCCGCTGAAATTCTCGTTCATTCAAATTAAAAAATCTGAAAACAGGCTATATTACGAAAAAAAAAAAAATAATGTAAAATTGTTAATCTAATATATGGCTCTAAATAGTCTTACAATCAAAAAGTAAAGTCTAGAGAATTACAAAATTCTTTTATTTTATTTAAAATAGATAAAGTAAAGAAAAATATTTTATCAGCGTTAAATTTTTCCGTTAGACTTGGCGTGTGTCTCAACTTGTCTCAACTTGCTGTATTGCAAGAAATAATATTTAGTATTTATATTACATAGTTTATTATCAAGCTATCTTTAAAAACCTAAGCTGCTCGTGAAAGTCCGATTACGCGGAACATTTTTGAATCAAAATTGAACGTAACAGTGATAAGTCGATTTCAATATTGCGAAAGTTACTTAATCTTTCGATTCTATTTTAGCTTAACGATCATTTTATCCTTCGAACTGCAATCGTATTTATGTAAAAATGTTTTCGTTGTAAATTTAAAACAGAAATTTACGACGTTTGGAAGCAGTTTATTCTATTTATAACGATTAAAACCTGCGAATTAAGTGTTAAATGCCTCCGCGCAGCGATTAGAGCGCGATTATATCGTAGCGATTTCTCTTCTCGACTGTCTTTTTGCTCGCAACCCTATAATTAGTCTTCGATTCGCATTTGGCAGGTTCTGCAGGTTCGTTGCCGCGCAACCTAATGAATGGTTTCGTCCGCTCTTATATGGAGAGAAATGGATCATTCACGTCGTTACTGTAACGACCGTCCGTGTACGGCATAACGAGAGCTCGCGAGGGAAAAGCGCTTTAAGAAATCTGACTACGATCTGTGAGGATTGCGCGAATACATTATTTTAGAAAATACTAATGTTTGCGAAGTGTATGTTTATACAAAAGAAGGCGCAAGATTTTTCACCGTAAATTTTCTCCGCGGTGTGGAATTAATAGAACGTTACGCGGAAAAAAAAAAACACGGAATCGCATGCTCCGTTTCTTCGATAGACGCGAGACGAGAGCGGGAATAATACTCAGTGAAAATGGCCGGATGGCATTTCGCGTTTGTGAAATGGCCTGAGGATCCGCGAAGGGAGGCGCGAACGGCATTATAATGAAAAGACATAATTGCGAGAATGCGCGAGCCGACACGTTGCGACACGTTTCGAAATCACACGTGTACCCACGTGCGTCCAAAGGAATTGGCGCTTTCTCTAAGAAGATGCGTTCCCCATCCATGTTACGACATTGCAATAACATCCACGCTATTCGAAAAATCTCAGAGAGTTTGACTCGCGCGATGTTATAATATTTTTATTTATCGATTTTAATTCCGCAACGCGTTCCTTCGGAGCTAGCAGATTTTTCGAATATAAACACAAAATTTTGTGGAGCGGCGAATTTTCTTCCTAAATTATACTTGCTTTGATGTTTTTTAAATAAACTGTTTCGTTATCCTTTTCTAATGCACTCCGATTTTTAGATGCAATCCCGAGAGAGTTGTTGCTGCTCCTGGCGGGCGCGTTCGTCGCCGCGGCGGCAACGTCCGCCTGTCCGTGGGCGCAGCACGCGGTGGATCTCGAGAGCTCGTGCATCTGCGACTACAATCTGGCCGGCGTTCTCTCAGTACAATGCGACATCGTCGATTACGACCAGCTGTTGTCGGCGATGCGGCGATACGCTACCAAAACGCCGGTTGAACTCTTCTACGTCAACAACAGTACGATCGACGTCCTGAAGAACGGCTCGCTCGCCACCTTAAGGATCAGTAGTATGCAACTGTCCGGCTGCCGCATCAGGACCATCGAGCCGGAAGCCTTCAAAGGCCAAGAGAATCACCTGAAGAGCCTGAATCTCAAGGACAACGAGCTCACGGAGATACCCGGTTCCATCCTGAAAACCCTGAGGAACCTCACCGTGCTCGATCTCTCGATGAACAAGATCACCAAGGTGAACGACAACGCCTTTGTCGGCACCAAGCTGGTCACGCTGAAGCTATCCGACAACGAAATCACTCTCGCTCCGGGAGCGTTTCGCGGCCTGGAGAGCACCCTGAAGAATCTCAATCTCAAGGGCACGCGGCAGAAGAAGGTGCCGGAGGCGCTCAGAGGACTGAGGACTCTGGCCTTCCTCGATCTGTCGCAGAACAGCATACGCGAGCTGCCCGGCACTTCCGGGACGAAAGCCTTCGACGGCCTGGACTCCCTCACCGGACTCAACCTCGAGAGAAACCTCATCCAGAATATCGGCCCGGACGCGTTCCACGGCATCAAGAACACCCTGAGCTCTCTCAGCCTGCTGAACAATCTCATCCCGGATTTCCCCACGGCGGCCATCAACAGCGTCCACGATCTTAGAGTGAGTAACGGGAAATTGCGGAGGATCCGAATGCCTCTTGAATTTTCGAGAAAAATAAGCAATTGTTATCACATTATTTAAATTGTTCGCACAACTTTCTCGCGCGGATTAAGAAATTCACGCGTTTTCCCGCGAATTATCGCTGCATTATTTCTCACGAAACCAGGTGCTGGACATCGGGTTCAATCTGATCACCGAACTACCGATCAACGCCTTTCAAGGGAACCCGTCGATTACGCTGCTGGCGATCGACGGTAACCCGTTGTCCACGGTACCGGAAGAGGCACTCGTCCGGCTGAACGGTACCCTGCGCGGCCTCAGCCTAGGCGGACGGTTTCTCGTCTGCGATTGCCGGTTACGATGGATCGTCGAGTGGATCAAGACGCGAGACCTGCAGGTTACCAGTCGTGAACGCAAGCCACAGTTTTGCGGCAGTCCGCAACGATTGCAGGACAGGAGCTTCTACAACATCGATCCCGACGGTAAATCCTGCGCGCAATTTTTCCTTAGATTTGCGGAATTTTATTTTCCCCGAGAATTTAATTTCCTCTCAAAAAAAATCAATATTAATATTAAGTTGATTAATGCGGAAAGTGTAATTTTTTTCTATTCATAAAATTAATTAACTTGGAAGATGCTAGAAATTTAATTTTTTCAACATTTAGATTATTTTAATGAAGAAAATGATGTAAAGTGCACAGATAAAAATAGGCCGATCTCTAAAAACGCTAAAAATTAAATGTCAGAATGCTACGTATATTCGATTCTAAAGATTTATTGCTCGCAGACATGAGTTGCGAGCGAGTGCCGGAAATCATCGGAATCGGAACGGTGGAGAGCGTGGACACCAGGGAGCCGACGGAAACTATATCTGGAGACGTCGACAGTCACATTCCGAGCATTCGGCCTACGACTGTCACGACCGAGGTGATCTCGAGCACATTTTCGACAACCACTGTGACGGTACCGTCGTCGACTGAGCAGAGAAGACCGACATCGTCGTCGTCGCCGTCAACCTTCGTCCCGACACCTCGACCGACCGCCGCGCGAACCGGAAACGTTGTGGTTGTGAGAACCACGCCGTCGTCGCCGAAGCAATCGCAGGACCAGATGCAGCAGCACCAACCGAGGCCACCGCTGGTCCTGGGATCGCCCTTGTACAAATCGAAATCGAACGAGAAGGACATCGTGGTGAAGGACGTGCTCAGGCAAGACAATGCGGTTATCATATACTGGGACACCGAAGCGGCCAATATTCTAGGCTTCCGAGTGATCTATCGGCTGTTCGGGGACAATAGTTTCAAGCAGGCGCCACCGCTCGAGGCCAGCGAACGAGAGTTCAAGATCAAGAACGTGCCCTCGCAGGTAGAGCGATGTTCTTTCGTTAAGAGAATTATAAAGCCGATTAAAAACTCGGCTCTCACTTCAATTCGCTCTAATAACTTTTAATCGAGAGCAATCAATTTTACGCATTAATCGTCAATATGCAGCTTCACTAAAATGTACAGAACATTTTCAGTAAATTCTAATGAATCAAATTAATCGAGTTCGCCAATAAATTATACAATTAAACTAAATTGTTAGTTTAAATCATGATAAATTGCAAGAATACAATGAAATTCTGCATCAATATACCGTGCTTCTCATTTTCATATTTCATCAACGATACTCCAAAGATCATTCGAGATCTAGATTCTACCCCTTCAGCTAATTTTTCTATCAAATTGCATTCACATGATATCGATCGATCGCAGGAATGTATCGTGGTTTGCGTGGTCTCACTGGAGGAGACCAACATCACGCCGGCGAACGTACCGTATAATCAGTGCCGCGAGGTCAGAACGGAGAACTCGCCCACTTCGAACATGGACAAGATCACGATCGCCGCGAGCGCGGCGATCTGCGCCACGATCGTCGTCGCGGTGATCATCTTCGTGGTGGCGAACCGACGCCGCGCTCGCAAGCTGCACACACTGCACAGCATCGAACAGACGAAAATGGGCGGCCCGATCGCCGGTCTGCCGGTCAATTGTTGCGCGAACATGGTGCCGACGCCCAGCCCCGGCGGGCCCCTGTCGTCGATGGCCACTCTGAGCGCGTACAACGCGCAGAAGGAGTGGGACCAAGTGTCAGCTTACAGCAACAGGAGCATACCGCGCCCGAGGATCTTCCCCATCGATCGACAAGGTAGATCGTCTATTCTTTCCGTCGTTCGTGAATACTTTGCTCGCGTAAAACTCACAATCCTCTTCAGTTTCGAATAAATTAGTTGAATGAGGGAATATTTGTAAAATATACGCGGAATGCACTTCAGGATCGATCACCAGAGCGTCCTGCATCGACGATGTGCGCTCTCAGACCGGACATTACAGCACCAAGGCCCGATCGATCGCCGACGGCCAGTCGCAGCACAGTTTCTCCAACAATTCTACGCGATACTTCGCCAATGCCGCGCTGGCCTCCAATCTCGTCAACACGAGACCAGGTATTGTCATCGTGTTCGTTAATGTATTATTCATCACGGTTTACTTTCGGTCAACGTAAGATGGACAAATTTACTATTTTCATTGCAGAACTGCGACAGTCGCGCCAGTCGCTGGCGGCCGCCTCGGACCGGATGTCGCGATCGAACTTCCCCGGCAGCAACCACCTGCCGCCGCACTCATCGGCCCGGCGGCAACGACCCCGATCGCGCAACCGCACTCTGGAGCCGAATCCGCCGCGACCTGGCAGCCGTTACAGCTTAGCGGACTCGACGCACACTCTCAACAACTACGACGAGAACAACTGGACCGACCACGACATGGACATCTACATGGCCCGCAACCCCACCACGAGAAGCGGTCTAGTTCCGCTTTAAGATTCAGCGATCTCCATGTCATCTCATCATTCATTCTTGCTCAAGCGTGTTCAGTAGAGTATCCAGTACGAATCTTAATGAACTCTTCTCGCTCATGCATTTTCAAGCTGAGCGAAGTCTAGATAATTTTGACAGTTGCTCCGAATAAGGACTTTGTATCAAATCAATTCCGAAGTGACTGAGCCTATTCTCAAAGCTATCAGCGCGACGAGAGAATCTCTTGGACATTTTACGCGCTCGAAACTCACCAGTTTCGATCGACGCTGCACTGCGTGGCGCGCATTACCGTGTAATCGTGCTTACGTGGCCGATGCAAATTTCGAGTGTTAGCAACAACCTTAGATATATGTACATTCCAGTAAAGTTATAAGTCCTTTATATAAGAATAATCTTAATTACAGAACTCTGTTGCGTAAGTGAGCGAGCCGACAGCCTTTCCGGCCGGCTCGATTTCCGAATTATTTTTTATTACGACGCGATACTTTGCACGACGGACTTAGAAATTCTACCCTCCAAAGACTGCGATCGAAACGTCTGCTCTGTAGAAAAGTGTTATCGCGACTAAGCGAACCGATATATCGTAGAATATAGCTCTCAATGGTTATGAACGACCGAAATCGAGAAATGAGAGACTTTATATAGAAGCTCCCATTGGCTCCACCTTATTTATAATACGTGTATTCGCGGGTGCATTCGCAGATATACGCGCGTCGACGACGAGGACGATTTGTCGTCCGACGTATGATGACGTAACGATGACAAATAAAGAGATTACTTCACTACTCACCCTGGTATCAGGATGCTCTTCTCCCAACGGAATCTGATTTCTTGCACAAATTCATGCCAGAGCTGTGCCAGTGCGGTCGCACCGCCGAGATTGTGCGTGCAATGCGCAGCGACGATCGACAGACGCCACACCAAACTATCCATCGCACAGGTTTTCACGCCCTTCCATTGGTCGTCCTCCACGTTGGATATGGCGATATCGTTGTAAGGAAATTTCTGTAAGAAAAGAGAATCTGCGATTATTGTCACATTTGTACATGTTAATGAATCTTTTGTAAAAAAAAAACCAATTGCTAATTTCAATTATTTTCAAAACATTTAGGAAATCTTCACAATTTGTGGTTTGACACATTGATGCAAAGAAAAGATAACATGATAATAAATTCATAAGTTGTTCTTTCGAGACTTACAGAAACAAATTAAAATTTTGCATTATTACTTTGCAATTATACCATCTAAATATTAAATAAGAATATTTTGGAAACTTGAAATGCTACATAAGAGAGCTATTCGTCTAAAACAGAGCGTCAAAGTTTTAACGAAGCTGAGCGTACCTCGGTGTTATCCGCATCCGGAAAGAGAAAGTACAGTATAGGTAACAGTATCTCCTCGGAAATTGGACCCTCAATATTTTTATTTTTCTTCGTGGTGCTACTTCTTCTACCCACCACAGCTGAGATTGTGGGTATTTTAGATTCAGTGAGCACGTTGAAAGCCGAGCTTAGCGTCTGATCGTCGTCATGGATGTAAGATGCGTTCTCACCCAGCAACTCCACCATAGTTTTCTGATTGTTGCAAAGGTGAAGAAAATCCGTCATGTACTCGCCGAGCAGGCAAGCGGGTAAAGCCACCATTTTCACCTGCACCGACCATTCAGGAGCTAATTGCGGTTCGAGATCCGAGTATCCCTCGCTGTCCACCACAACGTTATCCGACATTTCTGGCCATGTAGTGAAAAGATGTAGTTCCCTGAAAGTATTGGAAGATAATAAAATTTTTTGTAAACTATTAACAATTTTGTTAAAGTCAATATATAATCAATATGTTTAATTAAGTACCCAACAGGATCAAAGGTTGCTCCGAAGGGAAGTTTACCCAACTCGGCCACACCTAACGTTTCTCCTTGCATGAAATCGAAATCCGGAGGTTCTTGCGTCCATGTACTGTTAGTCCAATCTTTCAACAAATAAGAAAATCTAATGGATACCATTACGGAATCGAGCCTTACTCCGCAGCCTTCCCCAATCTTCTGCTTGAAAAGAGCAAGTAAACCTGTAAATAAACTCTGTCTGTAATTTGCATTTCTTTCGGAACAACAATTCAAAGTCAATATGTTTGGAACAGTTAACAAAAACATTAAATATGTACCTGTAAGATATTTGCAATGCGGTGGAACTTTTTTCAAATGCACCATGTCGAGATTCACACAAGTTCCTTTACCAGCACAGACTCCGAGGTACATTTTCTGCCAAGGTTCTTGCACCTGCACCAATGTAGGGATGTAGCTAAAATATATAAAAAAAATTAAAGCCAAGATTCTAGCAATGAAAATGTAATACAGTCATCTTGTGAAAATTAGCTTACCAATTCGCATTGTTAGTTGCAATTGTCAACGAGCTAAGTAAAATCTTGATTCTAGTCTCGTCTGTCAAGCTTGTTTTTCGAGCTGGTATTAAGACAAGGTATTCTCTGACACCATAGTAACGTGCTATTTCCATGCAATTATCATTGAGTCTCACAAAATCATTGGATACATCCAAAGCATCCTTTTGACATTGCATCCACTCCTCTTCACGTTCTTCCGAAGCTGTCTCTTCTTCTTCATCTTCCTTCTTTAACTTATAGTACTTCAATGTAAATTCTACATCTGAAAAATATATTCAATTGAGAGAATAAAAAAATTTAGGTTAAAAGTTTTGTATCATAACATGAGAAATAAACATTTATATTACATTGTAGATAATATTAAATCTATAAATTTGTAAACCTAAATGTTATTCCAAATAATTTATACTTCTACAAATATCACAAATGGCTTTTTCGCATGGTTCTAATAATAAATGCAGACTTAATATATTCTTATAAAAAATTGATAAGATTTTAGAGAATCTCTTTTTCAATGTAGATTTTTAACATGTTAATAAAGTTCAATAAAGGTTTAAATTATAAAAAACTATTGAAATCTGTTAAATATGAACCTGCAAAGTTCAATTTCTCCGACGTTTCCTGCCATTCACAGTTGACAAAGTCTCCTGGTTTGAGAGGGCTCGCAATTTTGGTATGAAACAGCTTCCATTCATGCATTATCTCCTCGAGCCTTGCAATGAACACCTCCCATTCGGACACGGTAGTGAAATCATGATGATAAAAGTCCTCAATCTCTACATGATGCATTTTCGAATCTACTTCTAACCTAAGACAATGTTTATCACTGTGTGATGCTTAAGATTCTTTTTTTTTTTCTTTACAGATATCTGTTTCTTTTAAAGCACAGTGTCACTTTTTTTTTCAACTTTTTGTCTTTTTGCTCATAAATTTATATTTACTTCCAAAAATATCAGTATTTCTATCAAATAAGAATACTGCACATTTCACACGCATTTGACGTTTCTATTGCTACTAGCGTCAGCTGATCGGTTCAAGTTTGTCCATTTCTCGCAAAGTAACGTTCATTTTTTTTATTTGGAAATAAAGGATACAGATGGCACTGAATACTAGACTACATAATCGACTTAAGGTATAATCATCATACATAGTGATTGACCGATGATAAATTTAAATATTTAAATTATATGAAAGTTATTATATATCTCTTCTATCACAGCCATTTACATTAATCAAGATATATATTGTTTATTTATATAATATATTTTATTTAAGAAATAATTAACAAAATTAATATTAAATTTTATTCATACATTTGTTGAAATATGAAATTATATTATTATTATATTAATGAATATATCTATAATTTTATTAATTAATTATTAAATTCAGATTTATTGTTCCAATAATCATACATTTTTGTTTCTATTCCGATAAATTCTTTGCAATTAATTCAATTATCAGAAGAAAGATTAACTAATAAATCTTGATAAACTTAATGTTTAATACTTACAATTCTATTTTATAAGTTAACTTGGTCAACTGTGAATTTGTTTTAATATCTTTCAAATTTTTTTTAAACCGAAGATGAAAGCTTGAACGGGAAAACAATTCTATAAATTACTGCTCTATAAATTATAAAATCACACGTATATAAGCTAGCAAATTAAAAATAAAATAGGCAGTTTTCTACATGTTTAAGGAAAATATTGAATGTGTACTTTATGATTATCTGCCTAAATATTTCTACAATAGATTGAAAACAGCTATTCTACTTTTAGGTGAATCGGCCAGCTCTCGTTCAAAGATCTCGCGCGATTTCTACGCTGGGCGGTAGTCAATGGTGTGTCAAGTGGATAAATTATTCATGATTAAAACGTATAAGTTAATAAGCTGTAGTACAAGCCCGGGTCGAAGCAGAGATGAGTGATCGTAAATGTAAATCAACCGGAGCTATGGATACTCAGCTTCGTAACACGAAAGGGGCGCGGTAGCGGCCGACCATTAACTGCCCATATCGTCTATCGTTCATCTCTTCTGTTCTGTTCTGCTTTGCCATCACAAATATATTCATCTCGAAATCCGTGCATTATGCTTCTATGAGCGAATGCCGTATTATCCTATTTGAGCCGCGACTAGCATACATTACATAAGTCTCAACGTTACAGATTAGATTCCACTCTTAAAACAGGCATGAAAGATCGATACTCGAATGTAACGAAAGTATTGTTGATGCTTTTCCGCGACGCTGATTGGTTATCGCGATTATTCTGATAGTTTGATAGATTGAGAGCGAAGGTTATTTTGACGGTTATTTAAAATTAAAAAAATTTATTAAAATATTTAGATTTCTTAATTATTAAATTACTATAATAAGTGCGCGCGCGTAGCGCGCGCCTGTATTGTTCTAGTCTATGAAAAATTATTATGGTCATTTCAATTATTGGATACAAATTTATCATGCCTTGAAGTTAATTTATAGAGATAACAAGAAATGTCATTTGTCTTCAAAGGTAAAAAAGATTAATGAATCTTTCATTTGTCTTTTAAACAACCATGTTGTTTCCAATATTTTACAATTAATAAATAATAAATGAACGATAAAAACCTCAAAGTTGCTTCGCCGATGCCCGATGTCTCACCTGAGTCTGCTCATCTTCTCAGCATAAGGGAACACGATTCACTCGCAATTCACTCGCGAAAATCTGATTAATTACTGTCGCGCGACTTTTATACGGCACTCCCGCGATGCGTACTTTATTATATAAAAGAAATAATACTCGAATATATTGTCGCACGGATACGTTCGACTTTCTATAGAAAATGACAGAATGATATTTATAAAAAGTAATTATCTCACCGAAGTAGTGATTTTGAGGTTAATTGTAATGAGAGAATAGTGAAAAGAATGTAGTATAGAACTTGTTGGATAGTTAAGATAATAAAAATGACGCATCGATACACCCTGATGTACGATTCGCTCCGTGCGACTATCACTTGCAAAAAAGACAGCAGGATAATAGCAAAAATAAGGTCTTGCACAGATTTTGATTTAGAGGAATATGTAAATGTGCGCGCCAACACACAGCGCAAGAGAGAGAAAGAGAGAGTAAGAAAGAGTGAGAGAGGATATAACGTGAGACCTACGTGTGTGCGACGACATCACAACCCCACCATACGGCTCAGTCTCGAAACGTATTCCCTCTCTCTCTCTCTCTCTCACGCGCTACATTCAGCATACATTTCAGCTCGTACATTTCACGCTATTTTCCAATCTAAATTTACGCGATCTTATTTTGGTATTATTCTGTTATCTTTTGCACGGCGATACTCGTACAGGGCGGATCGTGTATCGGAGCATATTGGTACGTTATTTCTATTATTTCAAACGTTTTAACAAGTTCCATGCTACACCTTTGGTTGTTTTCCAGCAAAGAACACAAGTTGACACAAATCGACACAAGTATCACTCTGTCTTTGTTCGATATTCAATGAGCAACAGAGAGAATAATACTTTTGTGTCGCTTGTGTCTCTTGGTGGAAAACTACCTTTATTACTCTTTCATTTCAACTAACCTCCGAAATCACTCTCTCTACTTCGATGAGATGAGAAAATCATTTCTTACAAATTCCTTTGCTGTTTTGCTACAGAATGCCAAACGCATTCGTGTGATATCCGATATTATCTTTGTTCTTATGTAAGTCGAAACGCGTCGAGAATGTAGATCGATTAAATCGCGTATTTCGAAGGATTTATTTCATCGAAATTTATTGCGCGGGCAGCAGTGTTCACGCAAAGCACCATGTTTCGTGACATTTACATATTTTACGTGAGTATTTATCTTTAATTCTTATTCATATATTTATTCATTTGTGCCATGATGCAAAATAAAAAAACGCTCAAAGAGCTTTAAACAGCGGAATTTTAATGAAGTAAAATTAATTTTTATATGAAATTACGCTGGCGAATCTACAGGTAAAAATTTTAAAGATACAATAGAAAACGAAAAATAAAATAGTTAATTATCGAAATTAAAATTCTCAACGCAGAAAGAATATCTTGAAATGTGTAAAATATTATATATCATATTAGGAATTTCGATGACTCACGGCATGGGGAGGTTTGGTGGGGTTGTTTACATACACTCTGTAGCCTACGTACTCTATGTCCTCTCTCTCTCATTACCACGCTTTCTCTCTCGCACGCGTTATTGACACATACATTCTTTTCTCCTACTCCTAAATCACACTTGGATCCTTCGACACGACCTTGTATAAATGAATCCTTGCTCCTGGACTATTATTATTCGTACGGCGGTACTTGAGCGAGGCAGACCGTTCGCGTATCGGCGCGTTATCCCTCCCAACTATCTCCAATTCTTATTACTCCTTACAGTTTTTTACCTTCCTCCCCCTTTTTTATCGTTACCTGTTGCGTACATGGCAGCATGTCGAACGCGTATTCCGTGTGATGAGCGATATTCGAGTTTAACTTTTGTCCTAATATGACAAAATACGCGTCGGGAGTGTCGGCTAAAATATCGCTAAAATATATTATTGTAACATCGTTCCGCCGTAATTTCGCAGTAATATAGAACGCGGAGTGCCGTTTAAAGTGCCGTGCGATTTTCGTATTTCGCGTCGCGATCGCGTGTGAATACTTTGAAGACCACTGAGAGGAGGAGGAGGCTCGGGAGGAGCATCAGACGCCGGCGGAACAACTTTAGAGTAAGTTATTATTTGTTATTTATTATTTGCAAAATGTTGTGCACAAAATATTAGAAATATTCAATGATATATTTGTAATGTTTAATATTCATATTTAATTATTAGAAATTTTTAACATATATATTATTATTATTATTATT